GTGTGTGTGTGTGTGTGTGTGTGTGTGTGTGTGTGTGTGTGTGTGTGTGTGTGTAGGGGGGGGTGTTGTGAAAACAAAATCCCAGGACTGCTGAGGGAGGTTTGTCTTTGGGTACTACCTTCATGCATGGTTCTTAAAGTGTCTCACTAGCCAGCCTTGAGGGGAGCAGGTGTGTGTTTGTGTGTACGTGTGTACGTGTGTGCACATGAGTGCATGAATGTGCATGTGTGCATGTGTGTGTGGGGTGGGTAGGAAGGGCTCTGTTTGCAGCACACACTAGCATTGTTGGAGGCTACATATAATAAGCATGTCTTACTGGTAAAATTGTATTTCATAAAAAACAGTTTGATCAAAAATTGATAATTATCAAACTAAGTCCTTAAAATTGGACATTATCTGACTGAAAATCCAAAGAAGATGGTGGGAAGTTCATGGTGGAAAAGTAGATTTTGGCCTGTATTTCAAATGAATAATGGTTATTTCAATAGAAATAGGCCCAGCTGATAGAAAATCCAGGGAAGTGAAGAAGCAGGAACTCTGTGGGATCCTATGATCTAGCAATCTGAGTGCACAGTGAGAAGTCACACCCGCAGTCAGTCACCAGGACAGAGGCCGTTCTCACCTCTCACCCCAAGGCAGTCAGCCACTTACAAACGCCACCCTCAGCAGTGGCTGGACTGATTCTGCAGACCGACACAGATGTGTGGTGCACACTGCTTGTCCCAGTTCTCAGGAGGTAAAGGCAGGAGGGTCCACATGGTGAGTGCTGGGCTAGCCAGGGCTGGGTAATGTGACCCTGCCCTCCCCCAAAGCTAACTAACATGTACAGTCCAGGTTTCTTCAACCACAAGATCTGCATGGTGTCAGTACTGTGGTAGAGTTCGGCAGGAGAGTGTGTGGGTATGGGTAGAGCTAGCAGGGGGCAGACCCGGGGACTATAGTGGCATTGCCCCCCCCCAGACACAGCAGGGTCCCACGGTCCCACTGTCTCTGGTGCGTGTTTAACAGACTTCACTCTTTAACTTTTTTTTTTTTTTTTTTGGAGACAGGGTTTCACTGTGTAGTTAGGTGTTAAGAAGTGTGTTAGGAAATGTCCTGGAACTTGCTCTGTAGACCAGGCTGGCCTCTAACTTACAGACCCACCAGCCTCTGCCTCCCAAACGCTAGGATTAAAGGCCTGGGCCACCACCACCCAGCTAACTATTAAATGTATTTAATTTATCATTTATTGGCCTAAAAAGAAGCCAGAAGTCCTGCTGGGCTCAGATGCAGACGGTGACACCATCTCTGACAGGGTCACCATGCAGGGAACTGGTGTGGACGGCAGGAGGCCCCCCTACTCTGGCGTCACGGGTCTAGAAAGAAGAAAAACCTTACCTGGTTTGGCCTTGGCCATAGAAATAGTTCAAAGATGGGGGGGGGGGCATGGAGCTCAACAAGCAGGATGCCTGCTTTGTATGCACAAGGCCTTGGGTTCGATCCTCAGCACCACATAAAGCTTGCTTGGGAGCCCAGCACTGGGAGGTGGAGCCAGGTGGGTCAGAAGCTGAAGGTCATCCTCAGCTACATAGGGTTTGAGACCAGCCTGAGCTACATGAAACATTGCCTCAGAATATATAAATAATTGAATAAAAGAATACAAAGATTTAAGTGTGTTAGGAAATGTAAGGAAACAGACAGAGGTTTGTTAAGACAAACATGCTTGGAAGTATACAGACCAGATTCCTTAGACGTCACTGAGAAAGGAGCAATGAGAGTTAAGAGGACAGGCATCATCAGACAAAAGCCAGCCATGTGACCACCTTCACCTTTCCGAGGGGCATCTAGGTAGGCTACCGCAGATCAAGACTGTGAAGTGTGGGCTGGGGGGTGGGGAGGTGGCGGCGGCGCACGCCTTTAATCCCAGCACTCGGGGAGGCAGAGGCAGGCGGATCTCTGTGAGTTCGAGGCCAGCCTGGTCTCCAAAGAGAGTTCCAGGAAAGGCGCAAAGCTACACAGAGAAACCCTGTCTCGGGAAAAAAAAAAAAAAAAGACTGTGAAGTGTGGTGATATATTGTGTACCTAATAAAATTTACCTGAAGATCAGAGAACAGAACAAGCCACTAGATCAAACATAGAGGCCAAGCAGTGGTGGCACATGCCTTTAATCCTAGCACTCAGGAGGCAGAGATGTCTGGATCTGTGTGAGTTTTCAAAGCCACCCTGGACTACATGAGATTGATTCAGTCTAGGAGAGAAACAGAGGCAGGCAGTGGTGGCTCACACCTTTAATCCCAGTACTGGGAAGCACACACGCCTTTAATGGCTGGGCAGAGAAAGGTATATAAGGCGTGAACACACAGGAACTAGGAGTCTTTCAGCTGAGGAGTCCGAGCGGTAAGAGGTGTCTCTCTGATCTTTCAGCATTCACCCCAATACCAGGATCCCGGGTTTTTTATTAATGAGACAGGTGTGTGTTCACGCGTGTGCTTGTGAGTGTGTGCTGCAGCAGTGAGTGCAGAGAAGAGATGGGGTCATTTCACCTGCAACAGGAATTTAAACAATGCTCCCTTGTTCGGGTTGAATTATGCAGCTACTTTAATAAATGAGGCCGGCTACCACTGTATCCTGGGATCAGTGCTGAATACCATTGTCCAGGACATATATTTTTCCTAAGTATATAACTTAATATTGAGCAGAAAAACATTCCCGTCAATAGAAGTCTTTTATCTGATATGATCCCCCAGTTTGAATAAAATCAAAAAGGTGCATAATGAGAGACAACAGACAAAGACTGTGAACATCGCTTATCTTGGGAGAGGGACTGTGAAGGATTTCTACTTTGAACATATTTCCTTGTGCAATGGTCTTGCGTGACTTTTCTAAGAAGAAAACCTCCATCATACAGTGAGGATGTGATGAGAATACCTGCTGAGACAACTTCACTTAGCAACCGCATCTCCAGCTCATGTCTGGGGCCTTTGGAATTTTCCTCCTCCTGGTAGTAAGCCTGCAACCAAAGAACAGGGGGCTGTGAATGTCAGCATCCACAGAAATTAGTCTGTGACTGGAAAAGGAAGATGACGGTCTGTAAAACAACCTGCGATTTGGGCATGTCCTGGCACTACATCGGGAAAACGTGAAATCCACAAAGTTAATCCATTAAAAATCTAGCATTAAAGTTGGGCATGGTGGTGCACTCAGGAGGCAGAGGCAGGAAGATCTCTGTCTGTTCAAGGCCAGCCTGGTCTACAGAGTGAGTTCTAGGCCAGCTAGGGCTAAACCAGAGTGAAACCCTTTCTCAGAAACCAAACCAAACCAAGAGCAAAACCATTCGCCATGATCGCTTTTTAGCTCCTAGCCTAAATCCTGCCACTTCAGGGGCAAGCTTTACCTGCTGTTTTGATTTGATGTCTATCTCATCCCTTAACCTTTCAATACGCATGCAATCCCTTCAGCACACAGACCAGGACGTCTCCAGAATGCCAGCTGTCACTCCTCCACGAGACAGCCCACTAAGGAGGAACTAGACAGGAGGTCACTCAGATAAGAGCTTGCCCAGCATGCAGGAGGACTAGGGTTCGATCCCAGCACTGCATAAAGCAGGGTGATAGCTATGTCTGTGATCCCAGCACTCGGTGGTGAGGGCAGGAGATTCAGAAGTCCAAGGTCTTCCTTGGCTACACAGCCCTTTGAGGCCAGCCTGGGCTCCATGACATTCTTTCGCAAAACCACTGACTCCAGACAAACAACAACAAAATGAACAAGCAAAAAGTAAAACTCCTAAGTTCATCCAGTGGAAGAGCATCAACCTAACATACAAGCAAACTGAAGTCTTAGGTTTAGTCGACAGTACCACCCCTTGCCCTGGCCCCCACAAAGAAAACTAAGATCAGGTTGAGTTCCTTACAGCAGGTACTTCCTAAGAGTTTGATAGAGTGTGTCACACACACACACACACACACACACACACACACACACACACACTACTGTAAACCTCATGCATGCTTGCTCAGTTTTTCTTTCGGAAGGGCTGGTGGTTGAACCCAGTGCCTCACACATGCCAATCAAGCATCTATCCATTGAACTACATCTCCAGACCAGTTCAGAGCCCCTTAAAGAGACACTTTGCAACTTGAACTTTTAACTCATATCCATCTGCTTGTTCCTCGGGGTAATAAAATATTCCTGAAACTAATTACTATTTTGAAAATTTCTCATAAGTATGCCATACCTCAATTAGGCCCTTCTAAATATTTCGTGCTATATACCAATTTAGAATACACCTACAATACATAGAAAGGCCAGTTAAATCAATTGAGAGATGGTATTAAGAGCCCTCTAGTGGCCAACTTCTTAATAAGCTCATGGAAAAAAAAAAAAAAAAAAAAAAAAAAAAAAAACCCTACCCAGTCATTTAACATAAGAGAATCAATTTCAAATCTACATGAATCTTCATGGTCGACTTGACTAGATCACACCCTGAGCAGAGTCACCATTCTGTGAGTTGGAGTCTCAAGCTAAGGAGAAATAGAAAGACAAGAGCTGAGCAGTAACATCCATCTCTCTGTAGCATGACCCAGGAGCCACATGTCCAGCTGCCATACCTTCCCATGATGCACTTCATCCCATCAGACTGTGAGGTCCAGACAAACCCTTCCTACCCTAAGTTTCTTTTCTCAGGGACTGTGTCACAGCCGCAAGGAAAGAAACTACAGGAGATTGGTGCCAAGGACTGGGGCTGACGCTGTGAGCGCTTGGCCATGTGTTCATGGCTTTGGAACTTGTTTGGAGGGTATGGAACAGGCTGGAATTGCAGGCCACAGAAGCCCTAGAAGTCTGTCCTCAGAGCTCAATGGACTGTTCTGGTGGGAGTTTGGAAGACCAGAATACTGGGAAAACAGAGAAGAGCACAGAACTTTTCAGACAGTGATCCCACGAGGCCACCGTAACTGAGTCATGGGTAGAAGACAGAATGCTTTAGTTGTGCAGATTCAAGCCATAGCTCAAATTATGTAGTTTCTGATTATTGTTTTGCAGTTTTTAAGTTAATATAATTCCTATGTAAGATACTGGTAGACTCATATCAATTATTAACTATGGTCAAGTCACTGGATGCAGAGGGAAAAATTATCCAGCACTGACAGTCCAGGAACTTCTTGAGCAGTGAATCTCAACCCATAGGCCAAGACCTCCTTGGGGGTTGAACACCCATTCACAGGGGTCACATATCAGATATTTACATTACGATTCATAACAGTTGCAAAATTACAGTTATGAAATAGTGACAAAATAGTTTTATGGCTGGGGTCCCCACAACATGAGGAACTGTATTAGAGGGCCGCAGCGTTAGGAAGGTTGAGAACCACTGCTCTAGAGACTCAGAAAGACACCGCTCATTTGCTCTTGATTTTTATGACCTCACCACTGCAACCACTGCCACCTGTAAGTCAACCTCATTTCTTTTTCTTTTCAATTTTCATTCATACTGAAATGGTGTTGGTTCAGAGACAATTTCCCACACCCTCCCACCCACACATACTGCTTCCTGTCTTACAGTCAAAGCAAATCAGGCTGTCACACCTGACCTACAGGGGTTGGGGTACAATCTTTACTCGCCCTGGGAGGGAAAAGTGAGCAGAAGTACTGAACCCCAAGAAAGCTACCACCCACAGAGCTGAGCTGAAACCAAAGTAATTTCTGTCTTAAACTTTTCTATTGGTTCGTTTTTTAGACAGTCTTACTATAGAGACCAGAATGGCCATGGTCTCACAACGATCCACCTGCCTCTGCCTCCTGAGAACTGACAGATTTTTGAGGATGGGGGAAAAATTGGTTATTTCTCACTCCTGTAGCATCCTGCCCGGTTTTCTGGTTCTCTTCCCTTCAGGTCTTTTTAACTCTCCTGTTACAACCACACACAAAACACAACTAACTATCTGAGAGTCAACTCACATCCACTTTACACTGCTTTAGATTCCAGAGTCTTTAAAACTTCTTGATACAACTGTTGTATTTCAAATTTCAGGATTTTTCAACATGTTCTTAGAATATCAAATAATTCAAAGTTTTAGAATTTTACATTTGTGTATAAACAGTATGGATGTGTGTGTGTGTGTGTGTGTGTGTGTGTGTGTGTGTGTGTGTGTGTACTCAGGGTAGAGGGGGACACTGGCTGTCCTGTTTACCAATCTCTGCCTTATTTCCCAGAGACGGGGTCTCCCACTAACCTTGGGTGATAGTCAGCAAGCCCTGTGGACCCTATCTCTGTTCTCCCACAATGCTGGGGTTACATGTGCATGCGTGGCCATGCTCTGATATTGTCACCATGCTTACGTAGCCCCAGGACTGTGGTTATTCAATTGTCAAATAGTACACCAGAGTGACAGGACCTCTAGGCGTGCTGTATTTCAAGAGAATCAGTCGGCCCTGCCTGGTGGCGCACGCCTTTAACCCCAGCACTCGGAGGCAGAGGCGGGCAGATCTCTGTGAGTTCGAGGCCAGCCTGGTCTACAGAGTGAGTTCCAGGACAGCCAGGGCTACATAGTGAGACCATGTCTCACAAACAAGTCTTCAAAAGCCAAATCCTGGGGAAAGGGCAGAAGATGTGAACTCTTCCAGGGCACACAAGCATTTGCGGTAAGTTCTACTCAAGAGCAGGCTGCCTGGAAGGAGTGGCCATGGACAGGCACCCCGCCCCCCAGGCTCACGGCTCTGCAGCAGCCGAGGAACATGAGAATGCAGCCCCAGGATGCTGAATCAGCTGTTCCTGCAGGTACCAGCTGTGGACGGAGGGGAGAAAGACACATTGGAAACCAGGGTCGGGGCAGGAAAGGGGCTTCTAAACAGTTCCTATTTGTTCAGGAAGAATCTTGAGAATGCCTCAGGGACCTGCTACTGTTCACTGCACAGAGCAAAAAATACACAAAATCTGTTTAGAACATGTCTGCCTGAGCTGTGTCTCAAGCCAGCAACCTCAGCACTTGAGAGGCTGAGGCAGGGGACTGCTGTAAGTTTGGACGGTCTGGCCTGGAATGTGTTACGAGATACCACCTCAGACAGACAGACAGACAGCACCCAACCTTCCGTACATCAATGTTCTCCAGCGCCTCAGTGTTGGGCTCTTCCTCTTGGACGAAGCTGAGCTCTGTTTCTTGTCTAGACTGCGACTCAGCAGCTTGGTTGGTGGTGTTTTCCTCAGCAAAGACCTTGTCTTCAGTGACGGCCTTTTCTGTGTGCTCTTCTTCTTTGAAATGCTTCACCGCCGTGGGAACATGGTCTTCCTTAGTGATGGTGTTGGGGTACAGGGGGGTGACATGATCATAGCGTGTGTGTAGGAGCCGAAGAGCAACATCACTTGTAGCTAGTATCCTTGGGATTTCAAATCCAATTTGTGTTTCAGAGAATTTCACACTTCGATACCTGCCAGTAATTAATTGATAGAAACGAGGAGGATGAGTCCCGGGAAGGTCTGAGTGTCACACCACACCCTTGTGGATGTCGGTTTTAATCCCCCCCCCCCCTGCTTCTGTGTCCTGTGCATACTTGCTTTACCTGCAGCACTGGGACCCAGTGTTTCTCAGAACACTCTCTTGGATTCCAATCCAACACCTTCTCTCCAGCAGCAACTTCTGTCTCCCCAGAGCCTCTTGGTGCCCTACCCAGCCTCCTCTGTCTCTCTAAATCTGATCACCTATGGCTTCTATCACTGTTCGCCTTACCAGGTGTCAGCGTGAACTTTGGTTTTCCTGGTGAGGAGGAAGAGGCCTCCCGGAATGAACTCTCAGAGGCTCTGAATGACCCTTCCATATGTGTGAACAAATGACCCTTTCATATGTGTGAACATACTTCATGCTCAGACAACTCCATGACACGGAAAACATTGGTTTTTCACTGATGACTCTCCAAATACACCCCACTCCAGACTTCTCTCAGTGCCTGCCATGCTTTTACAGCTGGGTGCTCAGCCAGTCTAGCGCTGAACTAATCCTTGCAACACTTCCCTATCATTATCAGAACAAAGCCGAACCTTACTGTCCCCACTGTTCCTTACTGCCATCTCATGCAGGAAAGCATGCCATCTCATGCAGGAAAGCATGCCATCCCACGCAGGAAAGCATGCCATCTCATGCAGGACAGCATGCCATCTCACATAGAAAAGCATGCCATCTCATGCAGGAAAGCATGCCATCTCACATAGGAAAGCATGCCATCTCATGCAGGAAAGCATGCCATCTCA